TGCTGATGYTGATGCTGATGCTGATTATGATGAGCAAAGCCCTATGATGACGTCAAGTTTTGCCACCCGTGCCGCATGATGGAGAGAAATTTGACGATGGTGATACAACAGTGAGTGACGAGCCGCTCCCCTGATGCACCGCTCCTTGATAGTAGTATTGATATTAACACCGAACAAGAGTGAAGACATACGCCTTGCTGATGATGACGAGCAGTACCCTGATGCTGATGATGGTGATGACGAGCAACAACCTGATGATGATGACAAAACATTACCGTGGACATAGATTTTCTCCCAAGATAACCGGTTCTTTCCCGAATGACCCTCCGTGGTAGATGCCTTTCCTTTTCCTAAGAGGCATCTGAGGCGGGGKTTCGTTGCCTTAGGGGCCGACCCTGTTATCGACTCGGAGTGGACCGCTTTCGCGGGGGGGTACCATGCTGTTGTGGTGGAGCCAGCCCGACTTCTGAGATCCGAGGTTTGCTCGGGCAAGGACGAGGGGTATCCCAGACCACCTCCTAGGGGATGGACAAGTGCGTATTCACAGAAGGCCTTCAAAGTTTTTCGGCACCTCACGTAAAAGAGAACTGCCATAGTATACCCTTTTGGTGGCCATTATAGGAGGCCATTGACGCATGGGGAACTGGTGCCACAAGCAGCCCAGTTCTTGTCCTACTAGTTAAACGGAGTATATTTAGATACTTTTGTCGTGGAATGGTCGCGCCACAAAAAGCGCGGGCAAGAAAGAAGACGAACGTTTAAGTAATTCTTAGTGGACAAAGATTTTAACTTAATTACCCTCGTTTTTTTTCAGATGACTGCAAGGACGACGATTTTTCAACTTTTCCGTAACCGCGATGCTGCATCAGAACGGGCCGAAACGCAATGGCGAGAGATTAGAGAGAATAGGGCAAATTATCTTCAACCCTTTTGAATTGTATTCAGAAGAGGATATTCCGCGATTTTGGGATGACAGCACGCGAAATCCCCCTAGACGCTTCATTTTTAAGTCAAGGGTTGGATTGAACATTCTTCATTATGAGTTCGCACTACCGCTGCCCGAACGAGATTTTCCGAACATGAACTTAGTCATGATGCAGCCATACGAGTTAAACCCCCGAATGGACGAGATCCCTGAGATAAGGTTAATGTTCGTTCGTCTTATACTTTGGACGAACGAACGGCAGGGTCCATTTTTTGGTATATATCATGCGAGACGGGTGCGAGCCAACAGGTTCGCCATCCTACGTATTGAGCCATTCTCCGAGTATGCTTGGCAGGACGAGGAGGATGAACTCATGGAACAATTACTAATGCAACTTTGTTCTGACGCGCAGATGCCTGGAGCACGACGAGATTTGGCGATCCCGAGGTACCTGGTGGTTCGCAACACACATGAGGACGATCTTATCAGAGGGGCGGAACAACTTTTACGGGTTCGAGATGGTTCTCCTACTGAGTGGATCGACTTCATCGGATTACTCCAAAACGGCGAGGGATTTTTCCCTAGTACTCGCGCGGATTTCCGGGCCAATACGGCTCGGACTCCGGATGAGTTTTTTGGATATACTTTGTATTTCCACCGCGCGAGCAACCTCCGATGTCTCTCTTGAGTCATTATGAGCATTAAGATTACCTCTTCCGACAGACGTCTAGGCGTTGTCCGGATCCGGGACACAGAGACCCGACATTTATTTGGACTTAGTCGGCCTCTTCAAGTTATAGTATGGAGACTAGCTTTGCGGATGGCCTCCTATGGTACTCGAATCATTAGAGTTATGCGAGGTGGCAGGTGACGACCCTGGTTTTGGACAATGATGAGCTTGCGCGATTGGACGTATTGGAGACCGAGGTGCGTGGTGGACGACAAATTTACCAGGGTTAGACGCAACTTTCTGGAAATCTTACTCGGATTCCAGAAAATGCCTCGCATAGACTAATCCCGTCGAGGGAGCCATATGATTATGGCTTCACGAGGTAATCTCAAAACAAAAACAAAAGCACTTTATTTAGAAAGGGCCGCCGGATGGAAAGTATTCGGACTACCCCGATGATTTCACTATCATGCCTTGGCATTGAGGGGTAAATATATAGGAAAGAAAAAGTAAATAAATACTCCTCATCAGACAGGAGTCAACATAGAAAATTAGTATGAACAGTCTTAGGTAGCCTTAACCCTGAGTTCAGAAGGATCTGACTATGGGTTTAGGCTTAAAGGATTGAAAAAACTCTTCTCCGATAAAAGAACTCTATGTATTGACCATATCAACGACGAGGAGGAAAGCACAATGGCATGATTTTTTCATTAGACCAAACCAATTATATTTAACATTGTGCTATGTTTTCATAACTATGATTGCTGAGGTAATTGACTGAAAGGATGACTTCTTATATATATGTATAGCTTTGTTAAGGACTTGCGTGAGTTAGCCTTGATAAGTTATATATATATGCATGGTTATGTGTGTATTGTATGTATGGGGCTAGGGTTGAGTTGTAGGTTTCATGCTTGGTTGAAACCGCCCTAGTCAACCGGCGTACGCTTTATCCTTAGGAGATCAGTGCCCTAAGTGACGAGCGATGTTCGGGTTCAACAGGTGTTTTGATCGCGTGTGCCTATACTACAACGAGCGAGCAAACGCCCTCGGCTGACTCACTTCTGCGATTGCATGTAAAAGCTTTCGCATGTGGGTCAGTAGCTCGATGGGGATACGCCCCTAAGGGTGGTGACAACCCCTTACCGGAATGGAAACCACAGCGGCCGGTCGGGAATATGAAAAGAAAAGGAAAAAACAGGACGAGAATGACACCCGCGCGGAAAAACAAAACGAAAACTTTTTATGTGCTGTGAAAAGCACGACCATCCGAAACAAAAACAAAAGGGAAAAAAAGGCCGCCCGTTTGTCGGAACGGAAACGACAGCGGCCGGGCGGGAATATGAAAACAAAAGGAAAAAACAGGATGAAAACAGCACCCGTGCGGAAAAACAACAAAATGAAAACTTTTTATGTGCTGTGAAAAGCACGACACTCGTGACCTTGGCACACTCTCTGTGATGAGAACCAGCACCACTATCCTGAGACGTAGGCCACACTCACCCTTGCACGTTTCTATGTTTTGGCCATAATGTGGCGGCGAGGTATACATCCAGGGAATCCCAAGTGTGAGTATGGCCTTCATGTGTTATCTCAAGATTCTCAACATAGTCGTGGTTGTAGAGCTCTTTCCAACATATTGATCACAGAAGCTTTGTCGAACAGTATGATGGTAGAAAGCATCATGTGTGCAAAGGGCTATAAACTGATCCACATTGCGTAGTACAGTAGTTTTTCTCAACAAGGTGAAACTTATTGTATCATGTCAAAACTGCAGCCGACAGAATGACATTCTTAGAACTACCAGTCCTTCCAGGCCTCTGTTTCCCGAAGCGGTTTTTTGTTGCATGCCAATTCCGGCCAAACATGAGGACGCCCGCCCTTTTGGCCTGGTAGGCCAATCCCCCCACAAGGACGCAGAATGTGCACCGCCACAGTGGACCAAAAAAACTAGGGTAAGCACAGGTGGTTTAGACCTCCCAGCCCCGCCGCTCTGAACGTGACATTCTGGTGGTCCTATGCACTGGCACGGGATGCGTGGGGGCCTATGGACCTGTAGGCATACACAATGCGCAGGTTCGGCGGCGTGTAAAAAAAGAGCACGCGAAGTTTTGGCAAATTTTTGCACTCGGAAATATGCACAAAACAATCTGAAAAAATCATACGCACAGATTTGGTGCTGATCTCTCCAGTGGAACAAAACACCAGGGGAACGCACTGGTGGTTGAAACCGGGGGTTTCGGCAGCATGTTCACCAACCACAGTGAAACAGAACACCTGGGTAACGCACTGGTGATTTAAATCTCCCATCCCCCACTCTCTGAACATGACATTCTGGTGAGCGTATGGGCCGGTCGCCACACGGGGTGTGTGGGGCCCTATGGAACTGTGATGCGGGGTTCGGCTGTCTGCAACAAAAATGAGCGTGCAAAGTTTGGAATTTTGTTGCACTCAGAAATATGGGCGAAACAATCTGAAAAAGATAACGCGCGCACGTTGCACAGATTTGGTGCTGATCTCTCCAGAACAAAATAATTAGAAAAAAAATATAAGATGCGGCTCAGATGCCGAAATAAAAATTGGCAGCAAATGATTGCTTTATGGGGGATATGTTTTGAGTCTTTGAACTTCTTTGTTGTTGGTGCGACCAGCAGGCTATAATTTTCCAAGTTTTTCATTCACTGGTACTACCGGTCGGTCCCTTGAATTTCCACTCGCTGCAGGTCCATCGGTAGTTAGAAATGCTCACCAGTCTACAAGGAGCAAAATTACAGGGTTGACCTACCAGACCCAACAGAGATACAGGGCGGGGTGCAAAATTCCAAGTGCCCTCAGGCAACAAAAAAAAATCCAAAATAGAAAAGGGATGTTGGTTAGGTTCCTCCGCATCAAAATTTAAGAAATATAAAAAAATGGTTTTGGGCCCTTTGGCCCATGAAATGTTTTGGCCAAAGCCACCTAACGGAATGCATATTTCAATCGAAGTTGTGGTGTGACGCAGTAGGAGTGATGTTGCTGGGCAGGCCTTGGGGGGGGTTGGGTGTGCAAAATTCTGACTACGCCAACTTTAGAGATTTTTTCATTCTTATTTCCAGCAACAAAAAAATTCTGAAAAGAAGTCAGGGATGTTTCTGAGGTTAGTCCGCATGAGGGAGGCAAACGAAAGAGAAAAAAAAAAAATGGTTTGGCGGCTTGGCCCATGAAAAAATATTCGCTTCAAACCAAATGCATATTGCCAAGCGAAGTTGGCGTGACCTGCTAGGAGTGATGTTTCAGGCTGTTGTTTTTTTTTGCAATAAAAGGGCCTTGATAACGTGCCTCTTTTGAGTCAGTGTGAGGTGAAGTGCGAGCATTTTGAAATGACTGATGAAAAGCTGTTCTCTGTTGTATTGTATTCTGCTGCAGCTCAGCAAGACGTCCATTGGAAAGAATACTTAAGCGCTACCCTTCCTTGATTGATTATTGCCTTCCCACACTGAATGAGAGCCTTTTGTCGACAGCGGAGACAGACGAGGCAGCAATGGGTGCTTGTGCTTTGTACGCCTCTCGGCCCATCATGAGACGTGTCACACAGGTGGTGCTTCCTGCTCAACTTTTTTGCTATTTTAGCACCCAATCCTTTTTTGTTTATGTTTGGTTAGCAAGAACGGAGAGAGAGTGTCGAAATTGGGATTACGAAAGGGGCATACTCACAGTAGGACTTTTTTGACTCCTTTGTGGACAATTGGGAAAGGATGGATGCGGAGCTGGCCGGAATTGCGGTCCGATACCTTCTTCATCCGAATACAACGTACGGTCGTTATAGCTACATTTGGTGTAACTTTAAGTCTAGGTACAACAATAGTGACCGTACGTTCTATTAGGGCAAAAACGGTAGTGTGAGTATACCTTATATGGGGCACAAATTAAGTGTCCAGGCTGTAAAAACCAGAAAATCCAAATGATGAGGCGTTTCCATTGGAAAACGCCAGGTCAATGTCATTGGTGAGATCCGGTGAGTGCGGTGCGGTCTGAAGGGTGCGGGGAACCGGTAATATCGATTTCCCAAACTTTTGGAACCACAAACGATTTGAAAGGTAGGAAACAATGATCCCTGTTCTGAAGAGAAGCAATGGATGACGCATGGGCGCAAACGCAAAGAGTGCTTCCACCTGACGAGACTCTGCGGGCATCCACTGCCGGGTCCTTGGCGTTGCCGAGGTAGGGTCCAGCAACGGTGATAGGTCAGGGGGTTGTACAACGGCGGCCATGGCGCCGAAGCTTCTGTGAGCATTGTATTCACTGACACTGGATTGCTTTCGCGCGATGACCAGCGTGACGACAAGCACTTGTGTCAACGCTAAAGGTAAGGTTGACTCTGTTAGTACTAGTGCTGAGTCTGCTGACTTCTGCAGGGGGATGTATGACAGGCTGCCACTGACTGGCTATTCACGAGATATGCATTGGAGGTCGGCGCCAACTCCAGTAGACTCTGTCGTGGGCAGAGTTTGATCGGTGGGAGATCTCGGTGACCAGTCAGGTGGAGGAAGCGCTGTGTCAGATGTCGGAGGCCGTCTGGGCGTTGGAGGAGGGCCCGACACTTGAGCTGGATGCTTTTGTTGACTGGCGGCAGGCCTATTTTCTTCGGAGTCAATGTCATGTGCCCTTGTGGTTGCTGAGGTGGCCATGCGCTCGGGTGGGGTGCTGTGAACAACTACATCAGCTGTGACATCATCACACATCACAACTATCACAATGCCCACATGCACGTCAAATTTAACGCCAACAGCGACTACATCATTGAGTGCTGCGGTGGCCCGACGCACGGGGTGGGCGCCGTCAGCAACTACATCAGCAGTGGCATAAGCAAACACACCAACAATCACAACACCAACATCAACTTCAACAACAACGACAACAACAACAACAACAACAACAACAACAACAACAACATCAACTTCAACAACAACACTGATGGTGGGTTGGGCGGCTTGGGTGGTTGAGGAGTTCATCGGTCTGCCTTGCGCTCATCACGGAGGACTGTGTGGTAAGCTTCTGCTGGCGGAGGAGGAGTCAGTCGTGTTTTCTGTCTTGTGTCCTGCGACGCCGCCTCCGTCTTCCCCCCATCTCCATCCCTGCTCTCTGTACTCCTACTTTCTTCTCATGGCAATTCTGGCACTGTGCATGATGCTCTGGGTCCCATCCATGTTGGCGTGGTTAGGACATTGACTTTTCTTCTCTCTGCCAGTATGGCTGGGCAGACAGGATGGTGGGATGTGGGACCCGGAGGGGCACTTTGCATGGGCAAAGCTTACTTTGTTGGATCTAGGACGGTAGTTGGCTGCGAGAAGGGGTAGGTTAGTGGACCCAGTCAAGTGTGGTTTGAGGGAGTTCCGCCCTTGAGTACACGTCATTAGGGATGGAGCGCAGTAGTGGGGATGCCCTCGACCTGGATTTGCTTTCAACCATGAGGGTGAGAAGTGGGTGACTTTCGCAATCTTTACTGTCCCCGGTCCATATTTCTTTACCTCGTCATGCCCTCTCGCCATTGCCCGAGGGGTTGTATGCTGACATGTCTTTCATCACAACTCTTTATCCACTGATGGCATGTTCTCACAATTCTACACATGGTCAATCTGGAGGGGGGATGACGATGGTTATGTCAATCTTCCACCCTCCCCCCTTCATCTGTTGTCCTCATTCAACTTTACAGGATCCATCTGGAAGGGGAGTGAGGGTGATTACTGTCGATCTTTCACTCTCCCCCTTCATATCTTCTCTTTATCTGTACATCTTTAACCGCCGCTGGTGATTTGGCTGCGCAGTGCTTACTGAATTCTATTCCTCCTTGTTTTCTTTTGATTGGATTAGTTAGATTTGATTTGATTTAATCTGCTCTGATTTGGTTCTGTTGGATCTGATGCGTTTTGATCCGATTGGTTTGATCTCTGAACAACTTTGACTTGAATTGGGGGGGCGCTTTTGGTTGCACGAGGACTTTTCCTTTCTTCGACCTTCACTCAACACATGCTATGTGGGTGGTGGATCACTGATGTGCTTGAGGTTCTGCCACGTGGCGGGGGAAGGGAGGCATCTCACTCTCAGTGGGTTCGGGGCTGGCTTGGTGATGAGCCCATCCTCGGGTTTTGACGGGTAGTCAGCCCCCTCACACCAGGGCAATCAATGCTGGTCATCATTTACAATTGCTCATCCTTTGCTCCTGTTTTCTAATTGAGACGCTGGATCGGGTTTCCAGTTGGTGCAGCTCCACACCAACAGATTGGAGCCATTTTCGACCGGGGTCCTATTCGTGGAGGATTCCCTTATCACCTCCAATAATAGGCCTCTTACAGATGATTCACCCAAAGGTAAAGGAATAATGGAAAACAAAAACGAAGTGGCCGCCAAGCGGCGGAATTGGATGAATCAATCAGCAAGCACTGCACCCACCATAGCGCAGATGCCTGCCCAGGTAGCAATGTGATGAACACTGATGATGTCATCGCTATTGTTGTTCTTCTCTTCCCCGTTCTCCTCATCTTCCTTGCCTTGTACCCCCCCCCCCCCCACACACACACACGTGCACACACACACACAGGGCTCTCCAATTTTTTTCGGACCTAGAGCAGGGGGTTGGTGCTTTCTTGTTGGTGGAGTCTTCTGTCTTAGGTAAGTTGCCGTTTGCCCTCCATCCCTCCATGGATTATGAGATATATAAACTCCGATGAAACAGTTTGTCACAGCCCCTCGTTTGTTGTCCTCTTCTGCCTCTCTGCCTACAGTTTACGGGGCAGCTCTGTTTGACTATATATATTCATAAAATGTGACAATATATGTATATGTAATATATATACTGACGATATATGCATGCCCTCTGCCGTGCATGCTTCAGAGGTATGGTTGATGCTAGCCGTCCTGGCTCCTGCTGTGACGAGGTTGCTTGCCTGAAAGAAATAAGAATACACTAACGCAAAGATGGCTCCTGCGGGAGGGCTGCTACCATCGCCTGCATCCTTATGATAGTTGTCCTATCTGTCTGAGGGTCTTACGCAGACATACCTTGCACCTTAACAAAAAGGTGCAGGTGTGCTGAAAAGAGTGTACAAAAGTGGGAGACTCTTCACTAAAACTGCAAGACAGTGAAAGAAGAATGCAGTAAAAGAAAGAAAAAGTTTGTGTCATTTTACTTTGTTTGTACCCTGCACCCTAACACCCTCAAAGAAAAAGTCAGAAGGGTGAAAATGAGAATAAGAAGTAATGAAGGAAGTGCAGGTGTGCTGAAAAGCGAACGTGGTAGACCCTCCACCAAACTCCAAAACTGTGAAAGAACGAAGAATACAGTAAAAGAAAGAAGAAGTTGTGTCACCTTCCCTTCGCCTATCGTTTTTTCTTTTCTGCTCCTCTCATCCCTTTATGCCAGACGGGGATGGGGGCAGCTCGCGCTCAACTTCATCAACGTGGCGAGCCTTGTACGTGAGAGGCGCAGTGGAGGAGGAGTTAAGAAGACTGAGAAATTGAATGATTTCAATGTGTCTTTGTTTTTTATTTATCTTTTGTTCAGTGTAAAAAAATTATAAAACACTGAAAGAAATAAGAATACACTAAAAGTCTAAAACAAAGAAGAAGACACTGTTTTGTGTTTTTCTGGTTTGTCTGTCTCTTTGCCTGTCTGTCCTTTCATTTTTTCTTTTCTTCGCTCATCTTATTTCCTCTTC